TATGCGTTAATTTGTGGGGCATCGATGGAATTTAACATTCTATGCCGCTAGAGAATTAATTGATTCGGGGATTTTTTCGTAGAAAATTCTGACTATGCAATTTTATTTGAATGTCAAATCGCATAAAAAATACATCAAGTTTTTATTGATTTTGAATAATGAGGGGGTCCTTCTGTTTCATTACATTCATAATTTTGTGGAATTGGTTTTTATTTTCTACATGCGAGGTAAAAAAAAAGGTAACTCGTTCAATTTTTTAATTAGTGTTGCATTGGTGAAATTCAATATTCTAATACATTAGAGAATTAATTAATTCATTAATTCATTCGTGGAAAATTTCACATATTGAATTTTATTCGAATTTCAAACCGAATAAAAAATACATAGTTTCATTGATTTTGAATGATGAAAGAGTATTTCTCTTTCATTACATTCATAATTTTGTGGAATTGGTTTTTATTTTCTACGAGCGAAGTAACAAAAAATGTAACTCGTTCAATTTTTAAATTATTGCGGCATTAGTGAAATTCAATGTTCCAGCTCACTAGAGAATTAATTAATTCATCAATTTATTCGTGGAAAATTCCGACTACCTAATTTTAGTTGGATGGCTAATCGAATAAAAAATACATTAAGTTTTGGTAATTTTGAATAATGAAGGGGTATTTCCTTTCCACTACATTCATAATCTCTGGAAATTGATTTTTATTCTAGACACGCAAAGTAAAAACAAATAGGTGCTTCGATCACTTTTTTAATTAGTGTGATATTGGGAAAATTCCGCATTCCAGCTCGCTTGAATATTAATTAATTTGAGGATTTTAATTATTAATTAAGCAGTTATTAATTTATATGTCAACTCGAACAAAAAATATATAAAGTTTCATTGATTTTGAAGAATGAAGGGAAATTCCTTGCTCGTCACAGGCATAATCTTATGAAATTTATCTTTATCTCTTCGACTTACACAATAAAACGAAATTGGAATTTGACTCCATTTTCCATGTTCTACTGCACTGGTGGAGTTTGGCATTCTATCCCTCAAGAGAATTAACTAATTCATCAATTTATTCGTGGATAATTTCGACTATTCAATTCCATTTAGTTGTCCAATCGAATAAAAAATACATAAAGTTTCATTGATTTTCAAGAATGAAGGAAAATTCCTCGCTCATCACATTCATAATCTTATGGAATTTATCTTTATCTCTCCGACACACTATAAAACAAAATTGGAATTTGATTTAATGCTCAATGTTCTGTTGCATTGATGGAGTCTAGCATTCTATTCGTCTAAAGAATGCATTCACCCATTAGTTTTTTGTGGAAGATTCCTGCTATTCAATTTAGATTCCAAAGAAACTGAGAAAAAAAATAATCTGGGATTGATCTTCATTTCCTACACATACAAAAACAAACATTGGTATTTCCTTGAATTTTCAATTAGTGCGGCATTAGTGGGATTCAACATTCCAGTCCACTTGTGATTCATCAATTCATCAATTCGTTCGTGGAAAGTTCCAATTATTCCGTTTTGTTTCCAGTTCGACTAAAATCCAAACTAAATGAAAAATCGATAAATTTAGATTCACCATTCGATTCGATTTTCAAACTCTGTTGCTTTGATAGGATTTAATATTCAGAAAAATTAATTAATTTATCAACATTAAATAGTCGCAACGAGGAGTTTTTCCCTCTTATTTACCCGAACAAAATGGAAAAAATTTTTTTTAAAAACATGTTTCACGGTTTTTGGACAATCAAGAGTAACTCCTTGCTCATTGTACTGATAACCTTGTGAAAGTGATCTTTATCTGTCCTACATTCACTAATAAAACGAAATTGATTCAATTAAATTTGATTCAATTTTTACATCGTATGGCATCAGTGAAATTTAAAATTCTCCCTCATGAGAGGATTAATTGACGAGAGGATTACTCAAGGCATCGCTGGAAAATTCCGAACATTCAATTTTTCCTGCATTTCGTTCGGAATCTAGGTTAAATAAAGAATACGTGGAGTTTCATCGATTTTGAATAATGAAGAGGAACCCCTCGGTTGTCACATTTATAATCTCGCCGGCTTGATCTTCATTCTTTATAAATAGAAAGTTAAAAAATGAAACTTCATGACCAATGTAGCAGTTATTTCCAGAAAGGGGAAAGGGGACTTGATTCAGGGAAAACGGACTCATAAAACTTAAAGTTCCAGTTGAAAATTCAAGAACATTCTCAAGTTGCAGTTGAAAATAAAGTTAAAATTAGATGATTTACTTGAATTTTCAATTGAGTACAAATATTAAACCGTTTGAAAAATGTAAAATTTACAATTTTCTCTCTTTTCTCACGAAATTCTGTTTTTTTAATGACGAAATTTCCTGAAATTTCATTGGATATGTCACATCAAAAATTTCGGACTGTGTACATTATTGAAGTTTACTTCATATTTATTAATTCTTCTTCTAAATAGTCATTAGTACACCGTTCCTGTTGTGACAATCTGTAGGCTTTCAAAATACAGTCTAAAAAAAATGGAAATTCATGCACAGTATAGTAATTATTCCCCGAATAAAGAAAATAAATTTGACATAAGGAAAAGTAACTCATGAAACTTGAAGTTGCAGTTGAAAATTAAACTAAAATTTGACAAATTACTTGATTTTTCAATTGAATACAAATATTAAACCGTTTGAAAACTCTAAAATTTCTAATTTTCCTCGATTTTCTAATGAAATTCCGATTTTTTAATGACGAGATTTCTTGGCATATCAGTGCATGTCACTTATTGAAAATGTCACAGATGCAATTGTCTCCAAAAATTTCAGACTGGGTGCGTTATTAAAGTCAACATTGATTCATTCTTTCTCTAAATAATCATTAGCCTACCGTTCCCGTCCAGTAGTGCCTTCTCTCCCGAAATTCATTAAAAATAAATAAAAATAGACTGAATCCTCCCCCTCAAAGAATTCAATTTCCCCCAATTCCTAACGTCGTATAAATTTCCAGCAGCAAAAACAATTTTCGAGGTGTACTAGCCAGCACAAATACCCGAGCGATCAGGTGCGGCATATGGTATGGGTGTTGGAGACACAAAAAACGAGGAATAAAGAAGTCGGATTCATTTGGTTTACGGTGGATTACGGGCCGTTGTACCAGCAACAGAGACAAACGTAACTGATGGTACAGAAAAGTACCAGTGGGAAGTAAAGTTGGAGGGGCTGGAGGGAGAGAGATAGAGAGAGAGAGAGCAATGTAGTTTGTTTTATTTTGTATGTGTACGGGAGTGGAGGTCGTTGACCCGTGCACGTGGAGTGTGGCCCAAAGTAGGCCACATCGTGACATCACGCATAATCAAAATGGCTGCCGCGTGTACAGCCGAGTGAGCAGGAGAGCGAGAGAGAGAGAGTGAGCGATCGAGGGAGCGAGGAGAGGAGGGTTCCCACAAAGCCTAGGCCTCTTATTCCGTTGGTCTATCCGGCTTTTCATGTGTGTATGTTATTCATATTTCGGTGGGTCGTGGATCGTCTGTGAGAAACACATGGGGGGACACGATGTCTAATTTTATCTCTATTTTCCCTTGTCCGCTTTGTCCATAAATTTGTTTTTCTATTCTCAGTCTTAATTTCTTGGGGGGGAATGAGGGTGATTAAAAAGCAGAGACAGACGAAACTTTTTCTCATTTCGCCTGAAACTTGCGGACAATTTTTTCTTCGGTCATTCTGGTGGTGGAATTGCCCTCCCGCATGTGGATTTATAATTTCTCCCCTTGAATTTTTTAAGATATGAAATTTTACAGGCTAAATTAAACCTCAAATGCTCCAACGTTGAACCTCGCGGATATAATTTTAACGAAGACAGGTGGAAGCGGCACACAACACGCGGCTCAATTCCAGAATAGTGTTCTCTCGCACACAGATGGAACGCTTTTTTTTAATTTCGTTGTTTTATTCAAAAGCACCACTTGAGTTTTTCAAACTATCACCTGGTAAATGCTTACTCGGGGCTCTTGTATACTTGTACTTTCGGTTTTCAGGGACGCCTCGTTTAATTACTTTTACTCTCGTCGATGTGAAACAGGAACTACGTACACATTCGATGTGTAACACGTGGCATACCAGGAGACAAGGGTGTGCAATGAGTCTATGTGACAGGATAAAATGCTGTCCTGTTATGCGGGCTTTTGAGCAACCAGGCTGAATCCAATTCCCCTCTTGTCCTCAATCCCCACTACTGCGCGATTTTTTTTCTTCCTTCTTCGTTTTTTTGTGTTAATGATAATGAGGATTCGGGGAGGGGGATAATTCCAGGTTGTTCGGGCTCGAGCCGAGGTAACTGGCGTGTTATTTTCTTCGTTGGGCAGGCAGGGCTGCAATTATGGAGTGTTAATTACACCTCGGGGTGGAGCGAATAATTTCAGTTAATTAAAAATTGCAGGGGAAGTAGGAGGTTTTGTTATCGACGGGGGGAAATGGAGAGTGTGATTGGTAACAATTCAGTAGCGAAGTGTAAGACGGTACAAGTCAATTTCGATTATTGACCGGTTTTTAATGAATTTCTCGGAATCTAAGGGAGATAGCAAAATTTTGGTTATAACCTTTTTTATAGAGCCGATTGAGTGCTACAACTAATGTCATTACGGAAATTTCGCTATGTCCCTTAGATTCGGAAATATTCCTCAAAAACTCAACTGGGAGAGAAGTCGACGACGTTTTACCAGTTCGCTACTGAATTGACTGTTGAGCAGGGAAATCCCCATTTTATCGGGGTAGAATAACTCGAAACTCAATTTTACTTTATGAAAATTGAAAATACTTAGGGGAAAAATGGGAATTGACTGGAGTAAATTGAATAAACTTTTTAGTCTGTTTTTTTATTTGAGGATGATTTGATTTTGTGAAGGTCTAGCAGCATGAATTATGCTCATTGGGGGATTTCTTCGCTGTCCCCCGGAACCGGCCAATCACTTGCTCCCATTGTTGAATGTTCAGGGAACCAATCATCGCGATCCCAAGCAGCCGCACTGCCACTCCGTCCACTTCGTCCTCGCTGCCGGCACTGCCTCATCTCGTGCCTCATTTTTTACAAATAATTCATAAAACCAGTAATAAATATGACTGATAACAAGGAGAGGACCTTCATCATGATCAAGCCTGATGGCGTCCAACGAGGACTCGTCGGCAAGATCATCCAGCGTTTCGAGGAGAAGGGTTTCAAGCTGGTTGCCATGAAAATGGTTTGGGTAAGTGGCTTTGATTTCTGTCTGCAGTCGTGCTGCACGTGCTCTCAACCAAAGTTAATTTGTTGTATTATATTGTCAGTGATTCAGTTGTCATTGATAGTCAGGTTTTTTTACGGATTTTCCATCAAGAAAATTGAGGTCAAAGGGGGTGAATTTGTTGGGATAGAGTTCATGCGATGTTCAAGGGCATATGGAAGTTAATTATTGAGTTCAGAAGTCGGATGGGTCGCGAGTGGGGTAATGCATGGTAAAACAACTACAATTACTTTTTTTGTGTCTGGAATCGAAAGGGCGAAATTTTTATGGAGATCTTTATAGATTTTATCTTGCTTTATTGTAGGATAATGCAAGATAACACAACTGCACAATTACTTTTTTGTAAATATCTCGAACCGACAGCGAAATTTTGATGGACACTTTTTTGTGGATATTATCTTCCTTTTTTGTAAGAAAGGTCTGCACGAAAATTTTATCTGTCTCTCAGATCCCCCAGTGTTTTTTATGAGAACAGTAAAATTTTTATGTGAGATTGTTCTCCACAATAAATTTCTTCTAGATCCCAGTATATTAGAGAGTAGTATACAACAGGGATAGCCATACTCATAAATCATAATTACCGTTAAATTTTGAAGCCGTCAATTAGTTAGCATCACTCTTAAATTTTTAATTATTCAAGTAATCATCAATCTAAGTATTCAAATATTGAACGATTTCATTACTCAATAATTTAGGTAGGAAGATTGCCGATTATTTGGTTACTCAATAATCCCTTTTAAGAAATTAGAAATATTCAGTTAATGGAAAATTCAAGTTCTATATTATCAAATATATAATTCATCATCAATCGGAAATTTAGGCTGTGAATATTATATTATCTTTAAATTTTGATGGGTATATTCAAACATTTATCAATGTAAGTCACGAGTCCTTTCAATATTTCCCTGGTCTAAAATGAATCATCTTCAACCTTCAATAATTTGAGGACTGCAGAATGGGATTTCCCTTTACCTTATCATTTTTAATTTTTTAAGCTTCACAAGAAGATTGAAGATGACTTGTTTCACCTCTCTCTCCCCTTTCAAAAAACCTCATCTCCAACTTGAATAAATTTTTGACTTTTTACTCTATTCAGTTAATTTCACATAATGCATTATCTTCTCTTTTCATCAGGCCTCTGAGGAGCTCCTAAAGAAGCACTACGCTGACCTTGCAGCTCGTCCCTTCTTCCCAGGCTTAGTCAAGTACATGAGCTCTGGCCCAGTTGTCCCAATGGTAAGTAATCGAATAAAAATGCCAGTCACGTCAATGATAAAGCCCCTCTCTCTCACTCTCCGTTACATAATGCTGATTAATTTTATTCAGGTCTGGGAGGGACTTAACGCTGTTAAGACTGGTCGCGTGATGCTCGGTGAGACCAACCCCAAGGACTCAGCCCCAGGCACCATCCGTGGTGACTTCTGCATCCAGGTGGGCAGGAACATCATCCACGGGTCAGACTCCGTTGACTCTGCCAAGCACGAGATTGGACTGTGGTTCGGCGAGGACAAGAAGAGCGACGTTATTGACTGGGCTTCCTGGGCTGAGAAGTGGATCTATGAATAAATACATTTCCAGTTGTTTTGTTAACATTCTGACAACATTCGCTATATTGGGAATTCAATAAAAATATAAATCTTTTTTCTTAAGTATAAACTTCGTTTATTCTTTCATTGAATGGTGCCATCAGAGCTCTTACGATCTAAGGATATCCTTGAGTTCTATTTGATCTATTAAATGGTGAATTTTAATGTCATTTGTCGTGGAAGGACAATTGAGCTGATAATAAAGGGAGAGGAAAGAAATATGCAGAAAGTTCGATAAAAATATTAAAAAAACAAAATATTCTAAGTTTTTGAAAGATCTATGAATAAATGCTGATGGTGATTATTGAATCAACATTCTCATTCCTTTCTTAATGAAAATTCAATACATCAAGCAAATGGGAGTGTTTTATACCATTAACTTTGTTTATGTCTCAATCAAATGCAATCTGTACAATTGCTTTTGGAATTTTATATCATGAAGTTCTATGTGATTCGATGAATTTTAATTTAATAATTTTGTTTTTCGTTGGTATCCTTTCCAACATTTCTAGTTAAACATCAGAGCTTCCACCTATCCTCATAAGACTGAATAGTTTATGATTGAAACGTAGAAATGATTTATAAGTACACTATGTGGTTTTTTAAAAATTAAATAAATCATTCGCAAGAAGGGAATATTCGGAAAAAGCGCAATTCCATGATTTTTCTCAATTTCTGCTCACTCAATTTTATTGGTAAATCTTGTGATTGATAAACTCCAAATCTACCTACCTATATAAAGAATGAAAAAAAAAAAATATTTATATACATAAAGGAGATTAGTGAAGATTCTACAATGCATATGAATTGGAGGTCATTTCTCTTGTCCACACCCTAATAACACTCAATATATTGGGAGTTCATTAAACAAATGCTTTTTCTCAACCATAAATTTTGTTTATTTCTCAATCAGCTTCCATTCGTACAGATCCTCTTACATTCTCGTGTTCTTAAGATCTATCTGACCTAATAAATAATGACTAAATGACATTTGTCGTGGAATGATAATGAAATTGATGAAAAAAAAAAATACAAAAGAAAGTGCAATGGAGGCTTAACGATGGGAGATGTAACGCATTATTTAGAATCTTAAAAAACTTAAAGATTTCAAGTTCAAATACTCGAATGGCATAACTCTTCAAACAGTCTTCCTGTTACGTTTCAAAGTCTTTGGGATACTTCACAAACTCAAAGACGATGTTTAATCAACTTCCTCCATCCTGGACGCCTCCTCGTTAGCCTCCTCAAGAGCAGGCACCTCCTCGACCTTCGGCTCCTCCATAGGAGCATCATCGTCCTCAATTCCCAGTCCAAGCCTAATCATCCTGTAGATTCTGGAAGCATGGATCTGAGGGTCTTCAAGGGCGAAACCCGAGGACATCAGAGCAGTCTCGAACAGCAGCATAACAAGATCCTTGACCGATTTATCATGTTTATCAACCTCCACCTTCTCCCTGAGGTTCTCAATGATAGAATGATCAGGATTGATCTCCAGATGTTTCTTTGCAGCCATGTAGCCCATGGTGGAGGTGTCCCTCAGTGCCTGAGCCTTCATAATCCTCTCCATATTAGCAGTCCACCCATACTGAGACGTCACAATGCAGCAGGGCGAGTCCACCAGCCTGTTGGACACCACAACCTTCTCCACCTTCTTATCCAAGATGTCCTTCATCACTTTACACAAATTCTCAAATTTAGTCTTGTCCTCCTCCCTCTTCTTCTTCTCCTCCTCAGTTTCAGGCAGCTCCAGCCCCTCCTTGGAAACTGACACCAACTGCTTGCCATCGAACTCCTTCAACTGCTGGACGACGTACTCATCAATGGGCTCAGTCATGTAGATCACCTCGAACCCACGCTTCCTGACCCTCTCAACGAACGCAGAGTTTGACACCTGCTCTCGACTCTCCCCAGTGATGTAGTAAATGTGCTTCTGGTTCTCCTTCATCCTTCCCACGTAATCCTTCAGGGAGCACATCTCATCACCAGAGGCTGATGTGTGGTACCTCAGCAGTTCAGCAAGCTTCTTCCTGTTGGTACTGTCCTCGTGGATGCCAAGCTTCAGGTTCTTCGAGAACTGCTCGTAACATTTCTTGTAGGACTCCTTGTCCTCTGTCAGCTCCTCAAATAATTCAAGACACTTCTTCACGAGGTTCTTACGAATCACCTTCAGGATCTTGTTCTGCTGCAGCATCTCACGAGAGATGTTCAGGGGGAGGTCCTCGCTGTCGACCACACCCTTGATGAAGTTCAGGTACTCTGGGATCAGGTCCTCACAGTTGTCCATGATGAAGACTCGTCTCACGTAGAGTTTTATGTTGTTCTTCTTCTTCTTGTTCTCGAATAGGTCGAAGGGGGCACGTCGGGGGACGAACAGGAGGGCTCGGAACTCCAGCTGACCCTCCACTGAGAAGTGCTTGACAGCCAGGTGGTCCTCCCAGTCGTTCGTCAGGCTCTTGTAGAACTCTCCATACTCCTCTTGGGTGATGTCATCTGGGTTTCTCGTCCAGATGGGCTTCGTCTTGTTGAGCTCCTCCTCGTCTGTGTATTTTTCCTTAATCGTTTTCTTATTTTTCTTCTTCTTGTCCTTCTCGTCATCATCGTCCTCGCCGATCTCCTCGATCTTCGGTTTGTTGTCCTCGTTCTCGGTGTCTTTGGGGGGCTCCTCTTCCTCGTCTTCACTCAGCTCCTTGTCTCGCTCCTTCTCGACCAGCAGTTTTATCGGGTAACCGATGAACTGCGAGTGCTTCTTTACGATCTCCTTGATCTTGTGCTCCTCGAGGTACTCGGTCTGGTCCTCCTTGATGTGCAGGATGATCTTTGTACCTCGGCCCAGGGGCTCACCGTTGTCTGGCCGAATTGTGAAGGAACCTCCTGCTGACGACTCCCAGACGTACTGCTCGTCGTCGTTGTGCTTGGAGACCACTGTCACTTTGTCGGCTACTAGGTATGCTGAGTAAAAACCAACACCAAATTGACCGATCATGGAGATGTCCGCGCCAGCCTGCAGGGCCTCCATGAACGCTTTTGTCCCTGACTTTGCGATGGTTCCTAGGTTGTTTACGAGGTCTGCTTTCGTCATACCGATACCACTGCAAAGAGAATTTAATTGTTAATATGAATTGTTTTTAAGGCTCTGATAATTTGGGAGAATGAAAGAAGAGAATGGAAAACGGAAGAATGATTATTGTCAATTGCAAAAATTATTTGCATATGGAAGGTGAATAGAATCTAATTTTTTGAGGCGTAATCTTGCGTGGAAATAACAATGGAGAAATTTTTGTGGTAGATTTTTCAGTTTTTATGTAACGAAAAAATTAGAAATGTAATTGTTGATCAAAGCTTCAATGATATTGAAAATTGCAGAAAGAATTCGGTAAATATATTCCATAATGGAATTTTGTATTTAAAAAGAGATAGATTTTTCATAATTTTTAAATGAAGGAAAAAAGGAGAAATGTAATTATTAAGGCTTCAAAGATTTTGGAAATTGGAGAGACAATTCAGTAAATAATTTCAATAATAAAATTGTGAATTTAAAAAAAGGTTAATATTCAATTTTCATATTACAAACAAAAATTTAAAAACTAATCTTCAAGGCTCTGATAATTTACAGAAACCGAACGATAATGCATGAATTATTGATGTTAGTTTAAGGAATAATTTTCTATGAAAGAAAGATTCGAAAATTTAATGGGAAAATCGAGAAATCAATTAAAAAAATTATTAAAGTTATGAAATTGAAATGTCGTAATTGAAGAAAGACTAACAAACGAAATATTTTTTCGAACTATTTTAAATACTCAATTTCAGGAACCATTTCCATATCAAAAATTAAAAATTTAGATTATAAATTTATTGAAGCTGTCATCAATATGGACTTTTAAAAAAATTAAAAATCTAATTGTCTTCAAGGATCTGAATAATTAAAAAAAAAAAATTATTTGAATCTAGAGGAGAGGATGAAGTATGAATAGAATTGAAGTGAATTTTTAATTTTTTTAGATACTTACGAGTCAATAATGGTAAGTGTCCTGTCATTTTTATTGGGAATGATCTTGATGTGTAGGTCCTTGCAGCTATCAAGTTTAGATGGTTCGGTGAGAGATTCATACCGAATTTTATCAAGAGCCTATAAACAGAAATAAAATACAACGGTTAGTGAAGCTGTCAAACTTCCACAACGACCTGAAAAATTTTCCGACTTCAATGAAAATAGAAAATTTACGTCAGATGAGTTGGAGATCAATTCACGAATGAAGATTTCTTTGTTGGAATAAAATGTATTGATGATGAGGCTCATCAACTGGGCGATCTCAGCTTGAAAAGCGAAGGTCTCCACCTCGCTCGAGTCAACCATCGTCACGTCTTCCGGCATTTTGATATGTATTTTATTTAATCAAACTTCCTTTATCCACGTGAGCACTGTTCACTTCGATAATAAAACTCAGTGATGATTTCAATTCTCTGTAGAACGCTCTAGAAATAGTAGTAGCAGAGAGGTTTGCCTCTAGGGTACGATGTGTATCGCTTCGTGTCTGTTTTCTCAATGTGCCAGAAGCTCCGCCGATGCTCGCTTTTATCGACTGGCGAATGTTCGAGAAACCCACCACCGGATGTGCCGAGGGATTCTAGAATGTTCGCGTCAAACTCAATCCAATTTCAACGCCCTAAACCCCGAAAATTTATCAAAATAACACAAAAAACGTTCCACGGTTTCTTTTTAATTTTGTTAGAGATTTATCGACGGTTTTCAGTTTTTTTCTCAGGTTCTGGGGAGAGGAAGGGCGGGGACGAATAATTGTTTGACTATAGGAGTGGACGGAAACTGGGATGCCCGGTAGAAGCGTCTAGAAAAATATCGAAACAAATAATTCGAAGGAAAATGCAGGGTTCGTATTAATTATGAAAATGATGGGATGGAAATTCAGATTTTTGTTGAATTTGTTTCGCAAATATTTGTGGAAAACATTTCAGATGCGCATTTTTCGTTCATCTATTTTGCTCAGTACTGTTGTAATTTCAACAACTTAAAATTAAGTGCAATTATTCATTGATCTCGATCAATGATTTGTTAATAATTCATCGAATTATTGATAAAAGTTTCATTTCAATGAACCTTGTATTAATTATGAAAATAAGAAGGTGAAAATTCCAAGTTTTATTAAATTTGTTTCGCAAATATTTATGGAATACATTTCAGATATGCATTTTTCGTTCATCTATTTTGTTCAGTATTTTTCTAATTACAATAACTTAAAATTTAGCGTAATTATTGATTAAATTCGATCGATAATTTGTTAATAATTGATTAAATTATTGATAAAAGTTCCTTTTCAATGAGACTTGCAAATAAATTGATATTTTAGTACTCTAAATTTTTGAAAATTTAGGAAATTTCAATGTTTCTTCCTGTTTATTCGTTTGTTTAAGTGATATTTTAGGCAAAAAAGTGGAAAAAATGTTTGTAAAGGGTTAAAACTTGGGGTGAAGGTCATTGCGTTGCATTTTCATTGATTCTCGCCTGGGTAGGACATCTAGAACATTCCTTGCAACCCTGAAAATTTCGGTAGGTCATCGATTTTCTCGGCTACACTATGTGCACTGCGCAGACTGCGGTACGTGTGCAACGTGTTTACTGCATGTCTAAAAATACGGAAAAATCTTTCTCGAATTAAATCTAATGATATTCGTTGACTATCTGCTAAACCTGCGGCATCCAGGTTTACATACATATATCGGGTGTTTACACTCCAGGTGCGCAATATCCGGATGCCACAATGCCACAAAGTACATTCTACATCGTTAAGATTCAGCTATTTCTAGAAACTTCGATAGTAGACGCAGTTAGAAAATTCATTCATTTAAATGTAAAGAAAATGATTAAAAAATGATCTCTAAGGGAATGATCAAAATTTCGAAAGAAAAAGGAAAATCGATTTTTGTTATCATTTTTAAATACATTCATCTCTGCAACGATAAATTGGTAAATTGCAGTCGCAGCGAAGGAGCTAGAATTTTTGAATTCACGTAAATTGACATGGTGGCGCCATCTATGAGCGGTTCACAATAACTTTTCCTTCTCTGCATTGGTAAAATCAATTGATGTGAAATGTGAAATAGATTTGAATATGACATGTAAAATTGAGAGTCTAATTGTTAAGTAAGGGTTCCATGATTCGAAATATTGGCAAGAATTCAAAGAGTAATTTTTCTTGACTCTGCAAACTGCAATTCAGTAGCGAAGTGGTAAAACGGTTTAAGTCGACTTATCTCCCAGTTGAGTTTTTGAGGAATATTTCCGAATCTAAGAGGGATAGCGAAATTTTCGTAACTACATGTGTTGTAGCACTCAATCGGCTCTACAAAAAAGGTTATAACAACAATTTTGCTATCTCCCTTAATTTTCGAGATATTCATTGAAAACTGGTCAATGAACTGGTTTTACCACTTCGCTACTGAATTGATTCTGCAATTCTTCTGTTTCCAATACTATAATTAATTTACTCATATCAATTACGCTTTTAAGCTCTGACTGGATTGGATCGACGCGGTCCTAATTTGCTTATCGGAGATCCTTAGGATCGAGTGGGGCAAAATGGACATTTAATTTTTTTTTATGTTAAGGCTTCCTCGAAATTCTATAAAATGGGATGATTTTTTTACTGTGGAAAGTACAATTCTTCCTTTCCGCAACTATCCCAGAGTGAATTCAATTTATCAATTTGTTTTCAAGTTATGAGCGTCGATTTTGCCCCACCGTTCCTATATACCCTCAAATTCTATTTTCATTGGAAGATTTCAACTCCTCGAATACTATTTTTTTGTCATTCCAGTCCAGTAAAAATAGGCAAAATGGGCTTGAAAACACGTCTGGACTAAATTTTGACGGAAATTGCATGAGACCCGTGGGAAACTATGTGTGAATTTCCAGTTTCCCCATTCAAACCAAAAGGGGGGGAAAAAATGCAAAACTACCCCCAAAAACAGTTGTTCGTTAATAACTCTAAAACGGGTTATGATATGAAAAAAAGTTTCAAACAAAAGGTGTAGAGAATAAAATTCCTCTTAAAGAAGGTCTAGAGAGTTTTACTACTACACCCCATAGTACGATGGCTAGGGGCAGGTAAAATTTGCGGGGGTGGGTGCTCCGTTAAAAAAAAAATGTAGTTCGTGGAAAATGGTGTTTTCTCTCATTTTTATATTCTCATTCGCTCATAAAAATCTTAATCTTCTATTCCAATTGTGTTTTTTTTATTCCCTCAAGAAATTATCTCAATTGATAAGATATCTAATTTTACATGCTGGAAAATTATCCTGGAAATTCATGAATCATAATTTTTTAATTTCTAGGGGAGGATGGGGCAAAACGGCCCCCCTTCAATCGTCAATATTTTCCGATTCAATAATCCGATTGGGATGAGTTAGAGCTCGTTTTGAAGAATGAAAAATTATCTTCAAAATGAAGTTGAAACTGGGAATTTTCACAATGTCATTCACAAGTTATTGACAATTGAAGGGGGCCGTTTTGCCCCACCCTCCCCTAATATGATTCTTCCATCTATTTCTAAAACATTTTGTTTGAATTTTTTTTCCTATCTATCATATTTCAATGGCAAAAAACGAACTCTTCACCCTTCTACTCCCCTCAAGTACGTTTCCCAGGGGGTTTGTAATTTTTTGTGGGATTGGCGGAGTCCTCAGAAACATATTCCAGTAGTTGTTTGTTTTTTTTTGGATTTTTCATGTTGAAAAAACAATGGTTTTTATGTGCAAATTGCAAAAAACGACCTTTTCACCCTTCTACTACCCTCAAGTACGTTTTTAATTCAAAAATTAAATAATAAAATCATTGCAAAATGTCCGCAAACTTACCATCAAATCGTTCGGGTCGCAAATGCAGCCAAAGAACTTGGATATCCTCAAGCCCCCATCAGGAGGCTTGATTTCAGTACCAAACGGTTCTCGACCAGAGAATATCCTAATTAGGGGCCACATTCTCGAGGTTAGTGATTAGTTCTTCCTCCACGAATCGACGTTGGTTGACGAACTGCGTATAGTAATTGTACAGCAGATTCGTTGACGATCGTCGATTCGTCCACGAAGGAGAATTCAGCAACGTCGAGAATAGGGCCCCAGGGATTGGCTCAATCTCACAGATTCTCCCCCAAAGAACAAGGAAATGGGATTTTTACCGAAGAAACATCACAAAGCCCCGTATTAAATCTTCGACTATGCATTTTATTTCGGATATTACAAAAACGACTTTATAGCGCATGTTTACAAGAATCTGCCAGGATCTGCCGCCCTTTGATCTCCACCGAGGAATGTCGAGCCCCCAAAAAAACACTCACGGAATCATTGTAACAAGAGGAACGTCGAAAATACACCATAAGTGGTTAATGGAAAATGTAGAGGGGATAAATTGGCAATTATGACATTCGCTTGAGTTACACTAATTCCCCACAAGCTCCATTGATCCTCTCGTGCCCTTATTTCCCACCCCTCCGAGCCACCACGTAATACCGCTTACCCTCATTCCGCTGAATAAAAAAGGGTTCCAGCAGATCCGAAGAAACTCTCGTACATAAATCTACAAAATCTCGATCATTTTTTTTTCCTTGAGGATGAGGAACTTCCATAAAATTACGGACCCCAGATTCATACATGTAATATACACGCAACATTCTTACAATAATTGTAATGTTTTTTTTTTCGTATTTTTTCTGTAGTTTTTTCTTATCATCTTTAATCGTTCTTTTCGTTTCCGCGGTATCTCGAACATTCGCCCAGGACTAATAATTTTTTTGCTGTTTTATCTCTTTACTCCTTCATACTAAAAACTATATATGTACGTTTTTTTTGTTTTTTATATTTCATATATTTAATTTCTTTGTTCATTTTCGGTAAACGCGCGTCTTCGTACAAATAAACGCCGGCTTGCAATATCATCCATATATATATATTTTATCTTCGTCATTGTTAACGTACTTTACAAGTGGTACCTAATAATTGTTTCAAGATAGTGCCCGACCTACGGGAGGGGATGTTACTGTAGTTTAATTTTTTTTACCATTTTCCATTTTTATTTAAATGTATTTACCGTTAGTATAAGGTTACGCTACAATATGCAGTTAATATTAAATACATTTTTTAGAATTTGGTACTCTCAAAACAACTCATCACATTCGTATCTTCCCCTCATCACTGATCGTCTCTTGCTCTTCGTATTTTTTTTTGTTCAAGTTTTGCCTCATTTCAATTTATTCATCGTTAGCGTTTTTTTTTTGTCGTGGTAAATAATCGTTAGGTAGTAATCGAGTGTGTGAAGGTTTAACTGTATTTGTAATTTCCATTATTTTTCATCATTATCAACGTAGTCTACAACATCCTCTCTCATTTCCTCCGTTTATTTATCTATAATTGTTTTAACTAGTTTCTGTTCATTAATTAATTATTTGTTCATACTGAAAAAGGGTGCATGATTTTTTCCATTATTTTCATTCGAGGAGAGTAATTATGACTAGCAAAATGACGAAAGGAAGTTCTCCACGAGGAAAATTCGAGTTAGAATAATTGATTTTTTTTATCAGTGCT